CATCCTTAGATTTTTCACAGTGTGTTTAGAATTAGTATTGTATTTTGTTACATAAAATGCAGAAACCTTGAAACAGTATTAGTGGGTTATCTGCTCCCACACTGTGAGTCCACAGCCCTTTGAAGCAACATCACCCTATGTATAATGCATCATTTTCTGTGACTACCTGCAAGATTTTCTTTTTCTTTCTTTTTTTTAAATAACTTTATTTATTCATTTTTTAAAATGCGGAGCTGAGGATTGAACCCAGTGACCCACACATGCTAGGCAAGCACTCTACCACTGAACCATACCCCAGCCCCAAGATTTTCTCATCTTTAGTTTTTGACAGTTTAATTATAATGTACCTAGATGTTATTTTAGTCATAATTGTCCTATTTGGGATTCACTGTGATTCTGGACTTTCTCTTTCAACAAATTTGGGAATTTTTCAGCCAGTGTTTTCTCAAAAATATTTTCTGCCCTGTTATTTTTGTCTTCTCCATCTGGAACTTGAATTAACTACATAAATTTGAATATTATCCCACATATACCTAAATCTTTTTTTTCAATCTTTTTTCTCACCTGTCTTCAGATTAGATAATTTCTATCAATCAATCTTCCAGTTCACTTGTCAGTCGTTCACTAAGAGGAGGTATATCTACCAGGTCTGTTTTATATTTAAGCTTGAGGCTACAGCTTAGGTTTTAAAGTACATCAAACATCCACAATGATAGGTTTATTAATATTATTATCTCAAATGCAACATGTTTAAAAACCTGTTCTCATCTTGACTGCTCTTTTAATGCAAGTGATATAGTAGGTTCTCAATGACTATATGTCAATAAATGGCTATTAGCAACAGTTGTGTTAGAAGAATCACAGGAGGGGAGAGAGAGCCCTGTTGGAAGGGGACATCCCAGTTGCCACTAGCCCACCTGAAAGGAAGCTCCTCATGATCTTGCTATAGGTTATGCTTCTCCTTTGTGAGGAACAGCTTTGCCTGTGAGAATGATGCTTTGGGTAAGACATCTAGCTCCCCTGTTCCCAGGAACACTCTGCTCTGCACACTTCTGAGGTAGGACTTCCACACTCCCCAGCAGGCCACTGTCAGGCATGCTCAGTCCACCCTCCCCTCCTGGTGCCTAGAAGGCCGCAGGATGGGTCTGAAGAGCTTGTCTGCTCCATCCACTTTGCCAGCCTAATCCCTAGGAGAGGAAACCTGTTTTGTGAGAATTTACTTCTCACTCTTGAAGATGAAAATAAGAGAAAAGAAGTCATGCTTGGATAATTTATCAAGTTGCTTTATTAAAAAAAAAAAATTGCTGTGTCTGAAACTAAGTTGGAAGTCTCCAAGTCTCCTGCCTGAAATTCAGGCCAGGATATATCATATAATTAGAAAATATACACTTCACAGGGGTTGGAAGCGAGGGAGAGTGCCTTCACTCATCACAGGCACTGGATAGGGAGGGACATCGGCGGAAGCACAGGGTGTCAGCGGGCTCTTTTGGTGGGTTGTGTTGCTCAGAAAATCTATAGCATGTAGCCAGTGGAAATTCTTTTAGTAACATACATGAACCCATCTAACCCTCTCTCCCCCTTGCTCTTTCTTCTCTCATCTCTCTCTGCTGGGTCAGAGTGGGGTGTCACCTTCTCAGCCCCCTGCGGGCTTGTTTGTAGTGCTTTGCGATTTTCTCTGCTGGTGCACTTGTGACAACAGGATGGGGAAACCACTCTACTCTGGGTCTACTTTGGGGCTCCCTCAGTTTGCAGGGCTCTATTTAAAAGCCAATTCTTTTAGAATATTAAAATGTGACTCAAAGGCCTCTCCCCAGCTTCCCCGTCCTGTTTCCTTTTGCCCTCTTTCCTCTTATCTAAGCAAAACCTATTGGTAAAGAGTCTGCTGCCTGGAGTGGTAAGTTTCTCTGTTCCTGAATGTTTTTTCCTGCTTCAGACTCCCCAGGTCTTTGGCATGAAGAGCACGTGTCAAGAACAGAACAGGGCAGCTGGGTCAGAGTGGTACCATTTCCAAGCCACCAGGACCATGTGGCTGCTCAGACTTCACTCCTAGGGAGTCTCAGAGCAGTGTAGACAATGATGTAGGTCCCCCCCGCCCCCACAAGGGGCTGCAGAGGTCTGGAGACCCTTCTGAAATAGGCCAGGAAGCCCTCCTTGGGTCTCACCCTGGGAAGCAAGGACACAGGCAAACTCATCACTGTGTCAATGTCACAAAAGTCTGCTACTGTGCATAAATCAGTTGCAACAGCTAAAAAACGAACTTTCAGTAGAAGAGCCTCCACTTCCTGGTCCTCACTCCCTCCAGGCAGATGATCAAATGATGCCTCTGAAATCTTAGAAATTCATATCGTCACTAGGGAAATTAAAATAATAATAATAAAAAAAGATCTTCTCTTTCCAGATCCCTCCTCTGTGTGACTGCATGAGGACATGTCTGTAAGAAATTGTGGGTAGATATCTCAGACGGGGGTGGGGAAAAAGTCCTTTAAATGGACAAATCAGTCCAAACCACTAAGTTATAACTCTTTCCCCCCCCCTTTCCAACAGAATAGTAAAACAGATCCGTTATTGGCAACCCCATTAGTGCTAAGGAGAGGTGGCCTCCAACATGACATCAGCCCACCGCTTGACCCAAATCTAGTATTTCACCACAGCCTTCCCCGGCCAGCTTTCCAACTGTGTAGAAGACATTCACGGGGGAGAAGGGAAGAAGGCATAAATAAGATACAGATTGGGGACTTTTTGATGTGTTTAGCACATTTTTGTGACTTCCTTTAATACCACGGTCCCTGCATTCTTCCACCATTAGGAGAACAAAAGACAAGCCTGAGATGGGGGTGGATGGTGGACGGGCAGCAAAGCCATTCAATAAAATGTTCTGTTCGCCTCGTTAGCGTTTTTTAATTCCAATGTGTAAAAAGGGAGGCAAAAATGGAAAGAGAAGAATGGATACTCCTGCCCCGTAACTTCAGATATAAAAAGTCCCTTCATTAAATCAGTTGTTTTTTAATCCATAATTGAACTTAAATAAAGAGTGACCTATGGGCAGCTGTTTCTAATATCGAGTCCCCACTGCACATGAAAGACGCATTTATTCCTCCCTACCCTTGGGTGTTATCAGCTGAACATGTTTTGAACCTACCTAATGCATTTGAGGTAGCTTGGGTTTATTTTTCTTTCAATAAAATAAATGGTTTTGTAATTAAATTTCTGCACTGCCTGTGCTTAATGGTTACATTGACAAGTGCTAATGTATGGCAAGAGAATGAGTTTGAAATGAAACATGCTGTTTTCGAATCTGCAAGCAATTTTGCAGTGGGGCAATCAAACCCCTCGTGCCAGGGAAACATTTTCATTAATCTGCTCAGCGCGCCCCTGCCCACTTGGCCGGACGCGGGAGGACACTTTTTAGCAACCCCAATGCCCACCCCCAACCCTTGCCTTTTTTTAAGAAAAAAACTCTCTCTCTCTCTCTCTCTCTCTCTCTCTCTCTTACACACTCACACACAAATATCATGAAGGAGCCGTTGTTTAAAACCGTTCTGTGGTCTCTGGCAGGCGGGCCTGTGGAAATTCGCTGACTTTCCACCTGAAAAGTTGCAGCTGTCCCCCTCCAAAGGGACTGGCTGCCTCAGTGTTTCAATCCCTGGCATCCAATCAACAAGAAAGTCTGTCCCTCTGTCTTCCTTTTTCTTTTCTTTTTAAACTTTTTCCCCTTAACTAAATTTATTTTTTAATAAATCTTCTCATAGAAAATAGAGAACGGCTATTACCTATCTGAACTTGCCCTGTGCAAACCACTTCAAGCCATGGCAAAGAAGGCGGTGGCCTTCTAGAAGGGTCATGAGTGGGAACCTGGATTGGCCCATGTGATCTGCTGGCTCCACTTCCACCCGCAGCCAGGAAAGGGCCCCCCCCCCCCCCGTGCAGGTACAGGCCTGAGGCCGGAGGTTCTGTCCCTTCTCTGAAGGCCTCTTTCATCTGACCACTGGAGCGATGGCTTCCCAGCTGGCAGCGGCTCTGGAGCCTGCTGGGCCCCGCATCAAAGACCAAGAGTGGGTACGAGGCCCACAAGCTGTCTGGGGCCTGTGGAGCTGCAGGGCAACGGGAGCCGCTGATTCCGCAGCTGCCCACAGGGTGTGCGACTCAGCATTTTCTCCCCAGGCTGGTGGAGAGGAGCCAGAGGGCCACTGCATGAATGCTGACTCACTCCATCCAGGCTGGCCAGACTCAAGCTGTCCTACCCAACTTGGCCCTCTCTAGCTGTGTCCGGGACAGGGCTTAGGGAAAGGTCTGACCTCCCTGGATTTATGGCAGTGGAAGACAGAAGAGTCTACTGCTCATGGGACTCCAGGAACATGAGGAAGGGTCTCAAATCTTCAGAACCCTCCTGCCCGTATCCTAAGTCCATTGCCTTTAGGGGGACACAGCCTTTCATTTCCTCAGTAGAGAAGAGGGCTTGGAAGCACAAGACCTTGGGAAGGAGGTATGGGGAAGGGGATCACCACTGAGATGTCCATGGAGGGCCAAGGCCAAGCCTGCCATGACAAGGAGAGGGAAGGAACTGGAGGTAACTGGTGTCTGAACGGCAGCGAGGAGATCTTAGAAGGGGTGAGGGCAAGGAAATGGGGGACAAGTGTTAGAGCCAACAGACACCTTCCCAGTGGCCCATGAAGAAATAGAAAGATCATTGATGAGGTGACAGCTAGGAGACTCATGGAATAAGTGAAGACTTAACCTTGTCCAGGATAAAGGGGTCCAGAAGCCCATGTCCCAGAAGAAAAATAAAAAGACAATGAGGAAGCGAAGGAGGAAGGCCCCTGGTGTGGGCCTTGGCTGAGTCTGGGCTGGGTCCTGACGAAACTAAGATATGATTATGTGAAAGCTGCCATCTGCACCCAGCCCTCCCATAATGCCACAGTAGCTCCTCCCACGACAGGGGAACACTTCACTCACTCCTTCAGCAAGTGATGAGTTCTCACTGTGTGCTCTCCTGTCGCTAGGCCCAGCGGGTCCAGGCACAGGCCGCCCTCCAGAGGCTGGATGATGTGTGTGGTGGAGTTCCACGCAAAATGCTACAAGCCTTCAGAGGAGGGAGGGGGCTACACCAAGAAGATCAGGGGAAAGCTTCGTGGGAGAGGTGAGCCTTGAAAGATGAGTAGGATTTCAAAAGGGGAGACGGAGGTTCCAAGGTAAGGCATCAGCACAACATGGAGGTGGGATGGTAAAAGTTGTCTCCGGAGAATAATGAGTGGTCCCAAAGGAATGGAGGATACTGTGTGTGTGTGTGTGTGTGTGTGTGTGTGTGTGAGAGAGAGAGAGAGAGAGAGAGAGTGTGTTGGCAGGGATGGGAAAATGATGGGAGATGAAATTAAAGGGTTAAGATAGGGCCACAGTGAGGGCCACAGTGAGGGCAGAAGCTACAGAAGCCATGCTTTACTTTGCAAGCCACAGGCACCCCTTAAAGATATGGGACCTGGGGTGTGGGTGAGGGAGTGGTGCTGTGACCCACTGGTGTATTCATTAACAGACCCTGTGAGCCATATATCAGGACAGATGGGGAAGGAGATACTGGAGGTGGCAGACCAGAGGCAACTGCCATGGCCCAGGCCAGAGAGGAAGAGAGCCACAAGGCAAGAGGCAGGGTGCTGGAGACAGGGCTGGGTGCTGGACAGCAAGTCAGAGTGGTGGGAGGGGACAGCCAGTAGTCTACCTGCAGGGCGCCTGGAAAGATGACCATGGCCGTGACAGAGACGGGGAACTCCAAGAGAGAAGTGGGTCTGGGGGAGGGAGGAAAAAAACATGCCAGTTCCCACTGGACACGTGATTTTTTGTTCCTGGGAGTGACTTTCAATGGGGACAGTGAAGGGAGAAATGGACCCAAATGAGAGGAGTCAATGCGACAGACAAAAGGGAACAGTGGAATTTGGGGATGAGCCAAGAAAAGGGAGGAGAGTCCCCAAAAGAAGACTGCAACACAATTGTGTTTCAAGGAGACCCAAGAAGAGGACCTGGTGAGCTGCTGGGCTCAGCTGCGTGGGATGATGCTCATCCCTGGGAACAGTCTAGGGGAAGGGGACGTGGGGACTGTGAGAGGCAGAGGCAGCACGAGGGGATGTTGGACATGGCTTTCAGGGAATGGCACAGTGATGCATGCAAGAAAAGTATTCCTGGGTGACAGGCCCTTGGCCCATAGTCAAGCAGGTATCAATAGTGAGGGCAAAGGACCCCAGAAAGGGGCCTCTCTGATGGAGCAAAGTCATGGGAAAGGCAGAAAGAATTGGAGAGTTGGCCTTGGAGTGGAAAGAAGGAGTGATGGGCCAGAGAACCACTGAGGCAAAGGCGAGGGGAGGTGGGCGCAACGGTGGCCCCTCAGGAGAGCACAGTGAGACCGTGTGCTGAGGGTGAGGGTCGAGGAAGGCCATGGAAGAATGGGTGGGGGGTAGGGGTGCGCTTGGAGATGTGAGGCAGGCAGGAAAAGGGATGGGAAGTCAAGCAGGAGTGAATTACAGGGCGTCAGCACTGAGAATCCTGCTGAAGTTGGGAGCCTCACTCCTCTGCCGCCTGCCTGGTCACGACATGGCGCCAGCCTTTCGTGTCAATCTGGAAGCAGAGACAGAGCCGAGAAGATGGTGGTGGGATTACTGTGACAGTAAGTTCACAGTGGATGGCACTGTGGCTACCATGGGAAGCTGGAGGCAAAAGACCCAAGGGGCCAACCTGGGAGAAACTGGTTGTTGATATGTATGAGCTTCATCTTTAAGACCTGTGCAGCCTTGACTTGGACTGGAATTTGAAGACTAAATTTGAAAGTTAAAAAAAAAAAAAATCTGCCAGAAAGAATTGTAAACAAGGAGTCAGAAAAACAGCTCCCTCTTCTGCTTCTCCTCCTCCCCCTTGGCTTTCCTGTGCTGTGTGATCCGGGCCACAGCCCCAAACTCTTCACATCTTTACGCCTGTCCTCCTTCCTTGGGGACACATTCTGGTGATGTACCAGCTTCCTGGAATGAAGATGGTGTTTAAAGAAAAGTGACCCCTCCCCCACTGGTTTGGTTCTACAGAATTCTTTAGTTCTTGCCTTCTCCTTACAGCAGTAAAACCAAACAAAACCAATTTAGCTGAAACCTCATTGGTCTTTTGACATGTTCTTGATGTTCAGCAGGGTTGTCAAAGCTAAAAGAAGCTGAACAAATTCGACCCGGTTTAGTTTTGGAAGTTAAACAACATCAGACCCGCCATCAGGTCTGCATTCTCCGTGTGGGTGGAGAATCCTGGCATCAGGTAAAGCTGCTTACTCTTTAGTGAGCAGAGCGTCCTAGCCCCTGTGAGTGGAGAAAGTGTCACAGCAGGGGTGCCATCCACTGTGACCTTACTGTCAAGAAGTAGGGATTCCAAAGGTGCTGTTCTTCCTCATCCCCTTTAAGCATCTCCATCCTCCCCAAAGTCCTGGTAGCCACTCTTGGTGTCCTAGTCACTGTAAGTTCATTTGCTATGGTGCCAGCAGGTCACAGTGGGACCAAGAGGGTCAGAGCCCAGGAAAGGCCTCCATGGGTCAGTAGCTCCAGGTTCTGTCTGGTCTAGCATCTCATGACCACCAAGACACACAGGCATGTCTTAGGAGGGGACTATGACCAGCATCCTCCACAACCTTGGAAGGCCGAACATGGACGGGACATCTACAGAAATGGCTACCTCCATTTACCCAGGGAAGCAGCTGTGACAATATACCCAACATTCCAGCAAGCTCTTTGTATTTTCCATCAGGGCCATATCTAGAAACAGTGCATTTCATAATTTGATTTTCCACTGTCTCTAACAGACACAGCTTTCTCTCTAAAGCTTTCAAAGGAGTCACTTTACCTTCACCCTCTTGAATTTGATGATTAGCCAAAGATAGGAAGAAGGAATGATTCAGATTGTGAATCTATGATATGCTGAATCCTTTGCTAAGTGTCACCTTTGCTGAACTGTTTCACAGCACACCTGTTATTTATCCCCATCTTAGAGATGAGCAGCCAGACTGCAATATCTGAGCCAACACTAAGGCTGCCCCCTGTGTTTCATGCCCAGTCTGTGATACTATTGTATTCTGCCCTGAGCATCCGGGGTCTCTCCAAATCAAAAAATTGCTGCTTCTATTCTGACGTCCCATGCTTGTGTCTGTGAGGAAGAGTGACTAGACATCTAAATATGTTGGCTGGAAACCAATAAATCCCATTGGTATTACTGAGACCTATAACATACGCAGTGCTGTAGAGACCAAGAGGATAGAGATTGCTGTGCACAACCCACCTTGGAATACACAGAAAAACATGTCCACTGGCCTTGTCTTCTTTGCAGCTGAGCTTGGGTGATCACTTGAAGATACAAACAAATATCAAGAAATAACTCTAAGGACCCAGTGAGCTCAAGGGGCCCCTTGCTACAGCCCCCTGTGCCAGTGGGTCTCCGTGCAACCTTCTTCAGTGGTGGTGGGCAGATGTGCCGATGGGAGGCAGGTGTTGCTAGATCCCCCAACCCATGGTCCCTTGCTCTGCTTCCTGGACATCTCCACCTGGGCCTGAAGGAGCACAGCTACAACTGGAAGGGAAAAATGGGAGCCGGCTGGTGGAAAGCACGTCAGCTCAGCACGCTGAGGCGGCGCACACTTTATGTAGCAGAACCGCTGAGGTTATAATTTATCTTCCCTTTGGCTTTGAGCCATCGTTAAGATTTCCAGGAAGGAAGCTTCAGGGAGGAAGGAAGGGAAGAGGGAGGGAGCTGGACAGTTCCCATGGCGAGACCTGGGATGGGGGAGGGCGGGACCTGAAGGCTGGCTGCTGAGAGGGGCAGGGAGGGCCTGATGCTTTGGGGCCAAAGTGCTAGTTATGAGAATTTCCTAATGACCGTGAGTCCTGGGGGAGGCACGTGAGCTGTGCCTGGCGCCAGCCAAGCCTGCACGGGGCCTCCTATCCATATGTTGAGTGTGTGGGGAGTGAGGGAGGAGGGAGAGAAGAGAGTCCTGCGCTGCTGAAGGTGACTGATGGCCTTGGGACAGCAAATCTGGCTCCTGAGGGATCTGGCTTTACTGGATCAAGACACAAAGATTAGTGGCTTTCAGGTGAGGAAGAACCCTCGTTCCTGGCTCCCGGAACAAAGTTTCTTTGTGGTTCGTTGAGAGATTCATTTGTGTCCCCCATGCCCAGAATTTTGCTCATGGCATTTCTGTCTTCTTTCCTTGTGTCCAGAGCCTCCCTGGCCAGGTCTCACAATCCCATGGAGTCCTCCCTGATGGTCTAACAGGAAGCCCCCTCCTCTGGCCTGCTGACTGGCCACAAGCAGAAGTGAGGTTAGCCTGGGGCCCAACAGGGGTATGTGTTTAGGATGACTGCGTTTCTCCTCAGAGCCTTGAAGGTACTCAAAGATCCTGGGGGAACGAGTTTATAAGACTTGACACATTGACAGATTATACCGAGTGAAATACAAAATTGGCAAGAATGTCTAAATAAAAGCTGAGACTCTGAAGAAATTTCATGAGACTAGAGTGCCACTTTGGGCCACACCCAACTGGCTACATGCTTGCTCTTCTCCCCACTGGGGACATTGGGCAGATGAGTTTGAGCAGTGGGTGATGTGACATCAAGTGCCACCTCATGGGAGGGCCCCTGTTTCCCTGCGGAGGCTGAGCAACGGGGAATGGAAGCCTTGCTAATTAGGAGCAAGGGACATGGTTTTATTAAGTATTGAGAATGGTTTTGTAAATATTACTCCATTTTATAGCTAATGAAATTAAGCTATGGTGAGGTAAAATAACTTCCTCAAGTCAGAAAGTAAGAAAGATGTAAGTCCAGGATCCAACCTTGGGCCTAGCAGTCTGTTATGACACCATGCCACTTGGGGTGTCTTAAGGAAGGGACACCATCATGTGTGTCTGCAGCTTACACAGGCCTTCCTGGAAGGTGATCCTTGTGCCGGCCCCAAATGTCAGCCTCCACTGGTACAGACACAGACCCCAGCTGTGACAGCTCAGTTCATTCCAGTGGTTCCTCCCCATCTCAGGATTCCTGGGCCAGGTATATGGAGACTTTGCCCACTATACCAATATCTGGAAGGCCTCATAGGGCCCCAGCTTGACTTATCTAACTAAAGTTAAAGTGGTTGATTTGATCCATCTCTGTACAATTTGGGGAATCACCAAGTCAGATCTAAATGTCCATATGCAAGAGATGAGGATTCGATTAGCGGCTGGCTGGCTGTTAACCTTGCTTTACACAAGGAAAATTGGGGTGTGAAATCAAGGCCGAAGCCCCTTCACTGGGCCAGTTTATCTCTAAGAACTTTCCCATTCAATAAGCATCCTGGTTGATGTTCTTCATTATAGTCACAATGATGAACTCACTCTCGTTATTTTCAATAATACACACTACATCCATTACATTTAGTCTTAGAACATTTTATGATATGTCTAACCCAGAAAAATGTGTGCCCAGTCGAGGAGGAGTGAGGGATGGGCTATCTTTATTTTCGGCCCCTTTTAGCCTTTCCTTGGCACTTCCTGCAGAGGGTGTGGCTTTTGAAGTCCCTCTTTATACCGTCTGTTTGGCTTTGCCCCATCTCCCAAAAGGCCCTTCTAACTTTACACTGCACAAATGCACGTCTCAGGGACTTGCCAAATCTTGTCAAGTCCTCATGTTTTCCTTGGCAGGGACTGTGCCACTCCACTGAAATGGATCAGCTGAGTCTGTCGGGCATTGGTGCCGCTTCTTCAGGCGCTGCAGCTTCTGGGTCCTTTCCCAGGTTCTAAGAGCCCTGATGTATCCCAAGTCCTGCCTCTTCCAGGGCCCATGCCTTCCAGAAGCATCAGCACACTTCAGCACCACCCAGGCCCAGGGCCTGCAGGAATGTGGCTAAGGGTGGCTTCACCTGGCGCCCCTTGCCTTCACTCTTCTGTCTCAGCTGCCCCTGCTGGTAGCTCAAGTTAGAAAGGAAAGCTCATTCACCTATCCAGGGAATATGGATAGAGGACTTATACAGCTCTGAGCATTGCCCAGCACAAAACAGCGACCTTAACAGTGAACAAAATAGACAAAGAGCCCGGTTCTCATGAGCTTCCCTTCCAACTCATCTAATCAACTTCTCAAATGAAGTATTGAACATGTTCCTCCCTGCCAGGATGCCTCCTTCTTAAAAAAAAAAAAAAAAACTGGAGAAATACAGTTTAATCCAAAAGGAAGTACCGGTAATGGAATTCCAAGCATCTGTAGGGGAAATATTTGAGACTGAGAGACTCTTTGTTTTGTTGTTGTTGTTTTTTTAGAATAGGAGGTCACCAAACTAACACCTGTGGGTCAAACCCAGCCCAACACCTGTTTTGTAATGATCCACAAGCTAAGAATGGTGTTTATGTTTTTTAAAGGTTGAAAAAAATCAATGAAAGAATATTTTGTAAAAATCATACGAGATATTCAATTCAGCGTTCATAAAGTGTTATTGGAATGCAGCCATGCCCACGTGTTTCCACACTGTCCGAGGCTGCTTTCACACCTCCAGGGCAGAGTTAAACAGTTGTAATAGATACTGCATATGGCCCCCAAAGCCTAAAACATTACGCTCTGTTCCTTTACAGAAAGTTTGCTGACCCCAGCTCTAGAATCATATGGCAGAGACAGACATTATTTTCCATGTGCATATAAATGGCCCTGTCTGGCAAGCAGGGGTCCCTCTTTCCCGTTTTGCCTCTGGAAGAGAATCGTAAAGTGGACCGAATGTCAGAGACTGAAAACCTGTTCCTGACATCTGTTTTCTCTTTGGAACACCGAGACAGCTTTCCTGGGGAAGTGTTCGGACAAATGCAAGATTCCTTCCCCGTAGGATCTTCAATGTCATTTACCGAATTAGACGCAAACCTTCAACTTGGGAGGTTCTGGGCTTCCTGGTGGTGGTGGCTGGTAGGGTCATCCATGGTCTTGGCTCTGCCAACTTAAACAATAATATTTATGCCTGTGCAAAAAACAAGGGTTCAAATCCCCCCTGTGCCACTTAGCATATTGTATGGTATTGTGCAAGTTATTAAACCTGAATGAAAGAAGCCTCAATTCTCTTATGTGTGAAATGGCTGACCTTGCCTACTTTGAAGGCTGTTAAGAGAAACAAATGCAATCACACATGTAAAGGTGTTGGTAACCTGGACAGCAGCTGCAAGTACACTGTCCTTTCTCTTCTCATGGACAGGCAGCACCGTGAGCTGAATCTTGTGCTGTGTGTGTTCTTCTTTGTGGAGACCAGGTGGCGAGTCAAGGCGAGAGGGAACCTATAACAATATTCTTCTTGCCTTCACTCAGGGTCTCTGCCTGCCCTGAGCCCCCACTCTCCACCCTCACCCAGGTCCCACGACTCTCTGGAGTCAGCTTCAGGAGTTCTCACCCACATGGGGGAACAGGCCTCTCACAAGCAAGAACATGCTGAAGTCCTTCCTCCAGAGTTGTCTTTGGAGGATGCCATTGCTGCCCCAGGTAGGCACCCCAAGCCCTTGATGATGCAGGATGCGGCTACTAGCACAGCTTTCTCTGATTATTTGCTTATTTTCTCCCCAATCTGTAACCCTCTCAAAGTGCAGGAAGTCTATATCCCACTGTGTGCCCCTGATTATCCTAAACGTCATAACCATGTTCCTTAGGATTGGGGAAAGGAGCAGTTTTTAAGGGTTAAAATCTTCCCCCCTTAGGTACAGGGAACAAAACAGATCAAATTATGCTATGTGCATATGTGAACATAGCACAAAGCATCCTACTATTTTGTATGATTATAATGTACCAATAAAATTAATTTAACAAGTCTTCCTCCTTCACTGGACTCTGAGCATCTTAGGGGCAGAGACTGTTTCTATTCCACGGCTCTCTGTTGTGTTACTGACAGCTACATGGTGATGGGCACCTAGTGGAAGCTCAATAAATATTTTTTTGAACGAATACATGCTATCTTGGGATTTTTGACAACACCTGGGTCATTCTACTGATATATTTTATGAGTTAATACACATCTCTTCTATGATATGCACAGCATTCTACACATGGTAGGTGCCCAATGCAGGCATGTCCATGGACGGTGACATCAATGAACTTGAATTTGAAAAATCACTCCCAAATCTCTAAGCCAAATAAATGAACAGAACAGGGCATGTGATTAGAGTCTAAGTTTAATGGTATCTTAAAAAAAAAAAAAAAAAACTTTCATTTGCAAGAGGCTGGTATCTTGTAAGTTATACTCTTTTAAGAGTTTAAGTTTGCTCCATAAGATAATGAAAACTTGGAACTTTGACACATGGTCTGGGAAGTCTAGGGTGGCCGATTTGTTTGCCATGTGTCCTGAGAAAAAAATCTCCAACCATGAGAAAGACTACTCTGACCGTGACACACAAAGGCCGGGACTTATAACTACTGTCCTTAGTGTTTGGGGAAAGAAGTTTTCATTATGGGCTGCAGAACAGATGTCAAATCCCCAGCCATACTTCTGCTGCTTGCTGTTTGTCATGAGTCACCCTGGAGCCCATCCATCCGGGCACTGATTTTCATGGGAAGCACTGACTTGTGGCCAGAAGTTCCTGCTGATGGATGGGCTCACCAGAGCTGGGGGGCCGAGCCTCCGCTTCCCCTTGCTCCTGTCTTCTTTGTACCTTCAGTTGCTTTGTCTCCTTCTCCATTCTCCCCTCCATCACCTTCAGCCCCTCCAGAGCCGGGCTCCCAGTCAGTTCCTGCAGCAATGGCTCATCAGGTGCAGGGGCGGTGCCACCAAACGCCTCTGCTCAGGGCACATATGTCAGCTTTGCTGCCCGTGGGTAGCTGAGTTCTAGAAAGGGAAAGGGCCAGTTCCTGGACAACAGGGCAAAGAGGTGAGTAGCTTTCTCCCTTGAGATCCCACGAGAAAACTTCTAGCCATTCTGATTCACCCACTCACTCCAGAGCTCCCAGGGTCCTTCCCAGGGTTTCCGTCTGGCTCAGCTGTTTCAGCTAGCAGAACTATTTCTCATCTCCCTTAAGTTCCAAACTAAGTATGGGCAACTCCCCTTCCTCACTATAAAAATGTTTTAATTTCTAGGTGCAATGGTCCATGCCTATAATCCCAGCTACTTGGGAGACTGAGGCAGGGGGGTTGCAAGTTTGAGGCTAGCCCAGGAAAGTCCTGTCTCAAAAAAAAAATTACTAATAATAATCTAAAGGGCTGGGGATGTAGTTCAGTGATAAAGCACCCCTAGATTTATTCCCCAATACTACACCAAAAAAAATTTTTGACAAGTAAAAGTTGTACATATTTATCATGTACAACATGTTTTGATATTTTATATATATATATATATATATATATATACACATACATGTATACATATATATATATATTTAGCCATTCCACTATATATATATATATATATATATATATATATTAAGTTATTTTACACATTATCTCACATCCTTGTCTCTTTGTGTGCATAGTGAAAACACTTAAAATCTACTCTCTTAGTAATTTTCAAGTTTACAATATGTTGTTATTAACTATAGTCACCATGATGTACAATAGATCTCTTTCCTCTTCTCCTTTAATCCAGCCAAGATAATGGTAGGGTTTTGCATAAGGAACTTTTCTAGAAACCTAAGGAAAAACCCGAACACTTGGAATAGGGCTTCCCAAGCCTTTCAGACCTCACAAGACAAGACCCCTGTCCTTTTCTCTGTTCTTATTTAACTCCGTTCCTAGACCAGCCAGCAGAGCTGACAGGCACATGTTTAGCTTTGGTGTCAACAGCTGGCTTGCAGTTTAGCTGTGCCACTTTGCACTCCCTGTCAGCAGAGCAGGAGAGTTCCACTGTTCAGGATGCTTGCCATCTTAGGTGTTGTCGGTCTTGCTCATTTCAGTCATTTTCATGGGTGTGTATTAGTATCAGCTTGCAACCTTAATTTGCATTTCCTTAAAGAGTAACAAAGTTAAACAACTTTCCTATACTTATTGTCCATTGGGTTATTCTCTCTTACAAAGAGCATTTCAAATCCTCTGCACCTTTTAAACTGGCTACGCGCTGTTTCTCAGCCATATCTATTGTAAACATCTTCTGCCGGTTTGTAGCTCTCCCCTTGCATCTCTTCCAGTTCTCATGGTCCAAGCGAAATCTTTTTGTAACATAAAACCAGAGTCAGGAGGGACTCTATAGTATGACTGGCTGCTTTTACTTGATTGCATTTCCAAATCACTTTTCAGAAAGTCAATAATATTTATAATTTAGCACCACAGAAGGTGCCCTTGTGTCCCCTCCTAATCAGTACCTCCCCCTCCACCTCCGTGAAAGTAAATTCTATCCTGACCTCTGTCACCATAGATTTGTTCTGCCTGCTCTAGTCCTTCACGTGAACGCGGGAATGGAGTATACTCTTTAGTGTCCGGCTCCTTCTGCTCTGCATTGTATCTATGAGATTCACCCACTTTGTGTATAGCAGTCATTTGCTCTTTTTCACTGCTATATGATATTCCATTGCACATATATACTGCAATTTGGGTTGTTTGCGAGTTGGTGATATAATGAATAGAGAAATATATATATATATATATATATATATATACATATATATATATATATATATATATATATATACACATATATATGATATATAAATATATAAATGAATTTCTCATCCTCGTCCCCAGTCTGCTGTCAGCAGCCAGTACTCCTTCTCAACTACCTCTGCAGTGCAGAGCCCAGCCTGAGTCCCCCACCTCTGACTCATTCACCAACCAGAAGAAGTTCACACGTGCTTATCAAGTCCTTCCCTGGCTCTGGTTACCACTTCAAGACAGGTAATCTTGACACCTTCTTCAGTGTCCTTTCAGCTATGGAATGCTTCTGAAGATCTCAACTCTCCAGGCTTACAATATAAAGTTACTCTTGGCCTCAGGAACAAAATCTTATGTCACAGGCTCAATGTTTACACTCCAAATTTGGGTCTAGCATGATTCAATCCAAAGGCAGCACCATCTCATTGTATATCTCTAAAGTGCTACTCGGCCTGCCCCTCTTCTTCCTCCTAAGAGGGTCTTCACTTGGAAACGCAGTCAAGTAAGAGCCAAAGTCCTTGTGGAAATTGTACATCTTCCTTTCTACTATTTGAAAAACTAACATTTCTTTTAATTAAGAATGTAGATAACAAACTACAAGCACACAGCAATATCAATAACTTTACCATCAATAGAAATCACTGATACCTTCCTATCACATTGTTAATGGTATTTTGAATTATTATCTAGACTTACCTTTATTTCAATGTTTCAGAAGTCTGAACCACCACCAGATCTTGCTTTAGATGTGCTACAAATATAGTACAGGCACTATATCCACAAACTTGCCTCTTAGAAGTATCTTGGTAATTTTATTTCAATATAATTTATGCACTGAAACACATTATTCTGAGAAGTAGTCCATAGAGTTGTAGGTACAAGAAAGTTTAAAAAAAAAAAAAACTTTTAACTTGGAGATCCTCTTAAACCCTTAACAATTTAAACTCATCCAGGGACTCATGCTGGTGAATTGGAAGTTCTGCATCTGGGCCGGGCCGTGCTGAAATCTGCTCCGTCTTTGTCAATGTTCCTCTGGCACACGGGGCAGGGATGGGGGATCTCAGTGGGCCCAGGCATGTGGCTTCAGTTTTCCCAATGTTCTGGCATTCCAAGGATTCTGGAAGAATAGGGCATCTCTTTTGCAGGTCAGAGGAAATGGGTAGCTAGCCAGCTAAATAGATTTCATGCTTGACTTCAGAGGAATAGCCCAAATGATCATCTGTTTGGGAGAGTAAATTAAAGAGGTAAGCAGGGAGGCGGGTTTTATTTGGTTTAAATTCTGATGGTTTAGTTGCTGCCCTAAACATCTCCAAAGAAGAATATAGTTTGTCAGACCTCTTCTCCCAGCATCCCTCCCCCCCACCCCCAATTCCAGCCAGATCCTGCTTCTCAAAGGGCACTGACCTTGAATTAGTGTGAAGGGAAACCTTGCCAGGATCTCCCCTCCCTCCAGGCCAGTCAAAACATAGCTCTTCTTTCCTCGCTACTCCAAATACTG